CCCCAAAACCCCAAAACCCCAAAACCCCAAAACCCCAAAACCCCATAATATTTTTATTTTATTGAAGATTTATAAAAATGAGTAACAAACTTCAAAGTCTGAGATCGCAAAGTAAACTATTTTTCTTTCTTTCTACTTCAAACTCTAATGTGTCTAGGTACTCAATTATTCATGGAAGACGGGTTATCAAATCGTTGGTAAGAATATGCATATCCTCACTGTCCATAGCATTTCTAAAAATGATATCAGAAATAAGTACTTGAACAAACTGATTGAGAGGGATTTTCAGAGGAAAAAGACTATCGTACAGGCTGAATCCAGTCTCTACGAGGATGTATCCACCAAGAAGTATCTCCAAAATGCAAGGAACAAAAGGTTCGATACTAGCAAGATGCTCTCATATGACTATATTGAGAAAAACTACCACAGAATACATTGTGAAACGAACCATAGAGACCAGATTGGAAATGTAAAAGTGTTGAAGAATAATAATAAAAAGGTATCACTTCAAGTGTCATATTAAGAACTCTAAAGTGTACAAGAAGTTAAAATAAACTAATCAGCCACGGACCAATACAAAAGGGAAGAAGAAAGCTTGGTTTAGACTCACTTTGTGAGAATCCGAAAAATAAGGTAGAAACCCGTGATATTTAATATTTAGAATTCAAGTCCGGCTCTGAACCCATTAAAAGAACAAAGCAACTTTAGGACTCTTCATAAAGATAAGAAGCAATCTAATCTAAACCTGAGTGATAGCTGGAATGGAACTTCTTCTATATTTAAGACTCAGAGTAAACCTTTAAAGAGCAACATCAAAATTTCTGGAGAGGGTCTTGACAGCAAGATTCTGTAATTTTATGGTCACCTTTATAGCCTACCTTTTCACCAGTCTGGGAAGAAGCCGATAAATCAGCAGATTAGCTTCAGAGAAGAAAGTAAAGGTATTCTGGTATCTTACCAATAGATGCTTACAGCTTAAGTCAAACCATAGCTCATAAAGATACAAGGCCAACAGTTAATGCATATCTTGCCCAAAAAGGGAGGAATAATTCAAAAATTAGATTAAAAAGCCGGAGATATACAGAGAAGAAAGAAGATTCAGTCAGACTTCCCCCTATAATTTCGATGAAAGTACGAAATAGGTCTAAAGTTGGCCAAGCAAGGTCTAATTCAGTTGCCATGCACAAGAAAATGTACTCACCAGGTAAGTTTCTCCCATTATTTTATAGTAAAGAGGATATTTTCGACAGATGAACCATCAGGCTTGGACTCAAAGAGGTCGATCAGTCAAGAGCAGGTATTTCCCTCTGATTCTGTAGCAGCAAGAAAAGCTTCGTGAAATCAGAAATCTCTGCTTTGAAGCAGAGATTATCGATAAGGAAACGCTCAGAGATGTTAATGCGAAATGAAAGTTAAACAAGTACTTTGAGAATGAATTCGACTCCAACCTCGGTATTTTCTGATATAGCAACTATAGATATTTTGACATCCTGAAAGGACATCGATTTTAAGGAACGTTTCTCAAAAATCTTCTTTGACTACCAGAAATAGAAATAAAATTGATGAGAAAGTGAACGCTTTAGAGGTCTTAGAGGAATATCAGAAGAGCAAGATGAATCCCTACACTCATATTGCGAGGATCGAGAGGTTAGAAAGTGTTTCTAAGTACCTTATGAGACATTATAGTCGTAAGAAAAAGGAGAGTAAGAGATTACAATAAACCTGTATGGAGAATATCAAATTTAAAGGTTTTTATTGCTAAATCTATTCATTCTATGCATATTTTTCTTTGATTGATATCTGTTATTCTTAAACATCTTAGGGCCGACTCCTTGGGTCTTGTAATCAATTTGGACTGCTTGACCCTTTTCAATGAGGGAAGACTCATCTTCCTCTTTTCTATCAAACTTTTCAAGATATTTAAGTCTTTTGTAACCTATGAGAAAGTTTAGTGGTGAAACTTTAGAAATTTACTTTCAACAAGATCTTCTTGCTTCTTAGATTTGGGTTGGCTAATGATCCTAGCTGTCTTCAGATTATTTTTCACTGGCGGAAGTTGCAAATGATGAGTGAATGGAGCAGCATTTTTAAGATTTTTAATTCTCTTTTTACTCCTCCTCTATTTTATTTAATTTCTCTAATATACTAGTTTATTAGCTCTTTCTAGATGGTCTATCTTAAGCAGTTGCCTAAAGTTTCATTAAATTTGCGCAAAACTCTCCCAAAAATTCCAAAAATACCATACAAATAGCTAAACTTTCTTGTCATGACTAAGGTCTTCAATGCGTTCATCTGCTGAATCTCTTCCTCTATCTCCTTATCAATTTCTCTGGATCTAATTCGATCTTTATTTTTCTTTAATCTCCATACGTTCTATACAGAGTGAGACCTTCTAAGCACAAAGTGACTCTCTACGTACTATGCATGATTAAGGTTTTTCTTTCCTTTCCAGTCATCAACCATGCGTCTGACTTTCGTGCCATATTTTATGTATAAATTTTAATCCTAATTCTGCTATATTTTTAGAGCAATAGGGGTTTTGGGGTTTTGGGGTTTTGGGG